ACCAGAATGAGGAGCAACACAAGATCGCGCTGGCGTCCAAGGAGGAGCATCAGAAGACATTGGACAAGCCTATTGTCACGGAGATCGAGGAGGCCAAGCAGTTCTGGGACGCTGAAGAAGCTCACCAAAAGTACCTGGAGAAGGGCGGCAGTTGCTCCGACAAGGGATCCGATGTTCAGTGTGGCGCCTAAACTAAAAAGTGCATTCACATTTACGATTGCTAATTCATCCTTCATAGGGATCCCGTAAAGCCCCTGCGGGCTGTTACAAGCAATACGTGGTAAAAACAAGGTACCCTACCGACTATAATTCTTGTTGGATAACTGTAGTTTACAAATTTCCTTTAGTTAGAGAAGTTCAATGCATCTGTCAAAATGAAGTACCATTTGTATTCGTAAGAAGAAACAGGTCTCCGTATCGTCCACTTACAAATGAAATTGTGTTCAGCAAATCTTGTCTTATTTATAGTAGCAAAAGAACATAATGCTTGAACATGAAGCCCTTTAATTAGAAGAATTAAAGTATTATCAACACAGTGGCGTCATAAATCTAGTGTCGCTACGACGTACATCTCGTTTTTGTTTATACAAAGATAGAGCGTGTTAAAGATATACTAGTACGTAATAATCTCTCAAAATAGAGAAAATATGCCCATAAACAACATTATCACCAGTTTAAGTACAGGCGTACAATTATACTACTATACGATTAATCCAGTAGATATACTAGATAGAAAACATCCGCAATAGCAATGAAAAGCAGTCAAAGTAGCATGTCATCGCGAAAAAAATCATTAAAATAAATTGCCTTAAAAAGCAATTTGTCAAACTGCGGTTCCTGTAGTACTTAAGATGGCGCTACGTGTTGCAAAGGTGTTAGGTTAATAGTCCTGGGCGCATCTTGCGGAAATACTTCTTGTATGCCTCCCTAACTGGCTTCGCGTCAGTTCTAGTCCATGTACCCGGACCCAGCTTGTACACTTTTTCAATGACGTCTGACGGCCAGTAACCATCATCGAGCCATTTCTTGAACTGAGCTTCCTCGAGTTTCTTGGCGATACGTTTGTTCCTCCCTTTCTTCGCCGCAAGGATCAGGCTGGCCAATTCTGCTTCTGTACGATCCTGTCGGAGGGCCGCAAGCATTACAATATCCCAGTTGTCCTTGTTGGTCTTAGCAACGGCCTTGAACCACCTCCCAAACTTGGCATCAGAAATGAGGTTACCAGCTCCCTTGTTTAAACCTAGTGAAACGAGAGCCTGATGGGGGGTTTCTCCGTTCTCCAACAGCCTCTTGACCATCACATCATCCCGCTTGAGCACTTTTGTGAGCTGCTCCCACCAGACTAATCTTTCCTCGCCATTGTCCACTCCGTTATTACTTCTCAGAAGCCTAGTAATAAGGGCGCCGCGCTCGTTGCCATTAGGCGAATAATCCACAGCCAAGGCATTCGATGGGACCGCAGCAAAAGAAGTAGCGCTCTGCAAAATAGCAACAGTGATCAAGAAGACGACGCTGTAGAGGCCCATGTTGTGAGCTTGACCGTTCCTGGAGCTTGCGAAGTGTGTCCCACTGAGTAAATTCCAAAGTGAGGAGCGATAGAGGCCGTTGAA